TAACCAAAGCAGGGTTCTCCTAGTAGATTAGTGATGAAAATAGGTTCCAATACTTAATTCTTGTCCCCGGATGGTTAGAATAAGGTTTCCCTCACCTAAAGATGGTTAGAATAGGTTTACCTAACCAAAGGCAAAGCAGTCTCTCCTAGTAGTTTTGTGATGAAAATAGCTTCCAATACTTAATTCTTGTCCCCGATGGTTAGAATAGGTTTCCCTAACCAAAGCAGGTTTTCCTTGTAGATTAGTGATGAGAATAGGTTGCAATACTTAATTCTTGTCCCCTGATGGTTAGAATAGGTTTCCCCTAAACCAAAGCAGATTCTCCTTGTTAGATTAGTGATGAGAATAGGTTCCAATACTTTTAATTCTTGTTCCCCGATGGTTAGAATAGGTTTCAACCTAACCAAAGCAGGTTTTCCTTTGTAGATTAGTGATGAGAATAGGTTTCAATACTTAATTCTTGTCCCCGGATGGTTAGAACAGGGTTTCCCAACCCAAAGCAAGTTCTCCTTGTAGACTTGTGATGAGAATAGTTTCCAATACTAGGCAATTCTTGTCCCCGATGGTTAGAATAGGTTTTCCTAACCAAAGCAGTCCTTTTCCTTGTAGATTAGTGATGAGAATAGGTTCCAATACTTAATTCTTGTCCCCCGATGGTTAGAATAGGTTTCCCTAACTAAAGCAGATTCTCCTTGTTGGTTAGTGATGAGAATAGGTTCCAATACTTTAATTCTTGTTGCCCCGATGGTTAGAATAGGTTTCCCTAACCAAAGCAGATTCTCCTTGTAGATTAGTGATGAAAATAGGTTCCAATTCTTAATTCTTTCACCACCCCGATGGTTAGAATAGATTTCCCTATCCAAAACAGGTTCTCCTTGTGGACTAGTGATGAGAATAGGTTGCAATGCTTAAAGTTCTTGTTCCCCGATAGTTAGAGTAGGTTTCCCTAACCAAAGCAGATTCTCCTTGTAGATTAGTGATGAGAATAGGTTCCAATGCTTAATTCTTGTTCCCCCGATGGTTAGAATAGGTTTCCCTAACCAAAGCAGGTTCTCCTTGTGGATTAGTGATGAAAATAGGTTCAAATACTTAATTCTTTTTTCCCCGATGGGTACAATAGGTTTCCCTAACTAAAGCAGGTTCTCCTAGTAGATTAGTGATGAAAATAGGTTCCAATACTTAATTCTTGTCCCCCCGATGGTTAGAATAGGTTTACCTAACCAAAGCAGGTTCTCCTAGTAGTTTTGTGATGAAAATAGCTTCCAATACTTAATTCTTGTCCCCCCGATGGTTAGAATAGGTTTCCCTAACCAAAGCAGGTTTTCCTTGTAGATTAGTGATGAGAATAGTTTGCAGTACTTAATTCTTGTCCCCCTGGTGGTTAGAATAGGTTTCCCTAACCAAAGCAGATTCTCCTTGTTGATTAGTGATGAGAATAGGTTCCAATACTTAATTCTTGTTCCCCCGATGGTTAGAATAGGTTTCCCTAACCAAAGCAGGTTTTCCTTGTAGATTAGTGATGAGAATAGGTTCCAATACTTAATTCTTGTCCCCCCGGATGGTTAGAACAGGTTTCCCTAACCAAAGCAGGTTCTCCTTGTAGACTAGTGATGAGAATAGTTTCCAATACTTAATTCTTGTCCCCCCGATGGTTAGAATAGGTTTCCCTAACCAAAGCAGGTTTTCCTTGTAGATTAGTGATGAGAATAGTTTGCAGTACTTAATTCTTGTCCCCCTGGTGGTTAGAATAGGTTTCCCTAACCAAAGCAGATTCTCCTTGTAGATTAGTGATGAGAATAGCTTCCAATACGTATTTCCTGTCCCCGGATGGTTAGAATAGGTTTCCCTAACCAAAGCAGGTTTTCCTTGTAGATGAGTGATGAGAATAGGTCCCAATACTTAATTCTTGTTCCCCCGATGGTTAGAATAGGTTTCCCTAACCAAAGCAGTTTCTCCTTGTAGATAAGTGATGAAAATAGGTTCCAATTGTTAATTCTTTCACCACCCCGATGGTTAGAATAGATTTCCCTAACCAAAACAGGTTCTCCTTGTGGACTAGTGATGAGAATAGGTTGCAATACTTAAAGTTCTTGTTCCCCGATAGTTAGAGTAGGTTTCCCTAACCAAAGCAGATTCTCCTTGTAGATTAGTGATGAGAATAGGTTCCAATGCTTAATTCTTGTTCCCCCGATTGTTAGAATAGGTTTCCCTAACCAATGCAGGTTCTCCTTGTGGAATAGTGATGGAAATAGGTTCAAATACTTAATTCTTGTTTCCCCGATGGGTACAATAGGGTTCCCTAACTAAAGTAGGTTCTCCTAGTAGATTAGTGATGAGAATAGGTTCAAATACTTAATTCTTGTCCCCCCGATGGTTAGAATAGGTTTCCCTTACCAAAGCAGGTTCTCCTTGTAGATTAATGATGAAAAGAGGTTCCAATACTTAATTCTTGTCCCCCCGATGGTTAGAATAGGTTTACCTAACCAAAGCAGGTTCTCCTAGTAGAAGCCTTTGTGATGAAAATAGGTTCCAATACTTAATTCTTGTCCCCCCGATGGTTAGAATAGGTTTCCCTAACCAAAGCAGGTTTTCCTTGTAGATTAGTGATGAGAATAGTTTGCAGTACTTAATTCTTGCCCCCCGGTGGTTAGAATAGGTTTCCCTAACCAAAGCATGTTCTCCTTGTGGAATAGTGATGAAAATGGGTTCAAATACTTAATTCTTGTTTCCCCGATGGTTAGGAAAGGTTTCCCTAACTAAAGCAGGTTCTCCTTGTAGATTAGTGATGAGAATAGTTTGCAGTACTTAATTCTTGTCCCCCTGGTGGTTAGAATAGGTTTCCCTAACCAAAGCAGGTTCTCCTTGTGGAATAGTGATGAAAAAAGGTTCCAATACTTAATTCTTGTTTCCCCGATGGTTAGGAAAGGTTTCCCTAACTAAAGCAGGTTCTCCTTGTAGATGAGTGATGAGAATAGGTTCCAATACGTATTTCCTTTCTCCGGATTGTTAGAATAGGTTTCCCTAACCAAAGCAGGTTTTCCTTGTAGATGAGTGATGAGAATGGGTTCCAATACTTCATTCTTGTTACCCCGATGGTTAGAATAGGTTTCCCTAACCAAAGCAGGTTCTCTTTGTAGATTAGTGATGAGAATAGGTTCCAATTCTTAATTCTTTCACCACCCCGATGGTAAGAATAGGTTTCCCTAACCAAAGCAGATTCTCCTTGTAGATTAGTGATGAGAATAGGTTCCAATTCTAAATTCTTTCCCCACCCCGATGGTTAGAATAGGTTTCCTTAACCAAAGCAGGTTTTCCTTGTAGATTAGTGATGAGAATAGTTTGCAGTACTTAATTCTTGTCCCCCTGGTGGTTAGAATAGGTTTCCCTAACCAAAGCAGGTTCTCCTTGTGGAATAGTGATGAAAATAGGTTCCAATACTTATTTCTTGTCCCCCCGATGGTTAGAATAGGTTTCCCTAATCAAAGCAGGTTCTCCTAGTAGATTAGTGATGAGAATAAGTTCCAATACTTAATTCTTCTCCCCCCGATGGTTAGGAAAGGTTTCCCTAACTAAGGCAGGTTCTCCTTGTAGATTAGTGATGAAAATAGGTTCCAATACTTAATTCTTGTCCCCCCGATGGTTAGAATAGGTTTCCCTAACCAAAGCAGGTTTTCCTAGTAGTTTTGTGATGAAAATAGGTTCCAATACTTAATTCTTGTTCCCTGATGGTTAGAATAGGTTTCCCTAACCAAAGCAGGTTCTCTTTGTAGACTAGTGATGAGAATAGTTTCCAATACTTAATTCTTGTTCCTGATGGTTAGAATAGGTTGCCCAATCCAAAGCAAGTTCTCCTGGTAGATTAATGATGAGAATAGGTTCCAATACTTAATTCTTGTCCCCCGATGGTTAGAATAGGTTTCCCAACCCAAAGCAGGTGCTCCTAGTCCATTAGTGATGAGAATAAGTTCCAGTACTTTATTCTTGTTCCCCCGGTGGTTAGAACAGGTTTCCGAACCCACTGCAGGTACAAATAGCACCTTCCACCCCCCAAACCCCATTCCAACTATAGATTCGGAATAGGTTCCGACCCGGGAAGATCCGGGGTAGAATAGGTCTTCAGCAACCCGTGCTTTCCACAAAAGGCGACTATGCTTGTCGTAAGAGGCGACTAACGGGATCGGGTGGACAGGCTCGCTGACTTGGTTGACACATGTCATCGGTTCCCAATTGCGCAGATCGATGCTGAAGCTATTGATCACTGGATTGTCTGGTCCAGACTCGATTATTGACAGACCGACGCCATATAGCTGGAATATTGCTGAGTGCGATGTAAAACTAAACTCACTCACTCACTCACTCACTCGGAATAGATTCCAACACGCCAGCCTGTGAGCCCCCTACAACGATGCTGATACCCTACCATCGAACCCCGACATTTTGCATGGTGTGGATGACCAAAGTTTGACGATAACCAGGTAACCATTGTACAGATAGAAATAGGTAACTTTGGTAATACCGACATCCAAGGCAAATGGTGTATGTTTTGAGAGTTTTAGTTATTTTTACGATTCAAAGAGGGACTGAATATGGTTTTAATGTCGGTTCTTCACAGGTATGAACTAACTGTCCTGGGCGTGGAGTGAGTATGGTTTGAAGCTTCTTTTAGTGATCTTTCAGCAATGTCTCTGCGGGAACACCAGAAATGGATAGTGGAATGACGATCCATCGCTTTAACCACTAGGCAACACAACCGTCCCACTTACAAATTATTGGGGCGTAAGGATAGCCTAGTGATTAAAGCGTTCGTTCGAAGACGCGGGTTCGATTGTACATGGTTACAATGTGTGAGGCCCATTTATGGCGTATTACAGGAATATTGCTGAAAGCGGCGTAAAACGATACTCGCAATACTCACTCACTACAGATTAGGATTAGGAAAAAAAGCAGCAAAAGTGTTGCGTTTATTTAGACTGGTCCAGCTGCAGGATGTGCAGACTCACCTTTGGGCCTGCGGTCCAGGATGATAGGTCCGGAGAGGAACACAGGCTGTACATCAGGGCCTCGGACCTGCCAGCTACGCCGTTAGGACATGTCCCTGCAGTGGGGCTGGTCACGGGGGTGTGATTTTGCATGGCTGCCAAAACCAGCAAACTGTTACATTTCGGGACCGATCCCTGGAGGGCTGAAACAATGAGGAAACAAAACAACTGGTTCACCCTTTGTTCACGGAGAGATGGGACAACGAGGAAACTAAACAACTGGTTCTCCAAATTGGCAGATACGTGAAACATAGGGTAACTAAAATACCTTCAAGAGTAGGTCACAAATATCAAAAACATAGGTTAACTAAAATACTTTAAGAATTAGGTCATAAATGTCATTCCAAAAATTGGTAGACAGGTAAAACATGGGTTAGCTTATATAGTTTTAGTAGACAATTAAAAAATAGGTTAGCTAAATGCTCACTGTGAAGAGACACTGTCTCCATCGTCTCTTGCATTGCGACAGAAACGGTCATATATGCGATACTGCAGTAATAGGTAGCGGCGTCGTCGTCGACAAGATTCCTCAGTTGAAGCTCAAGGGAGCCCCTGCTACCGGAAATGGAGCCTTTGGGGGTCATTCGAGACCGAAGAGTTTGGTTGACGATATCCACGTGGGATGCCATCACTGTGACGCGTGCCATTACAGACTTATAAGAACCTGTCTTTCCTATCTCGATTGCAAAGACCTGAGTTATTCCCAGTTCGGTAGGGCGACAGCTCAAGGTCATGGAGGTCGTTTGGTTGCTGCCGCACATCTCCAACTCCAGGGGGGTTACGGTGAAAGATGCGGCATGACCTGGGCAGGAGAAAGAGTTAGTGAGTTTGGTTTAACACCGCTTTGAACAGAGTTTCAGTGTCATCTTAGCGTGACAGCTTGATGTCGTATGACAGCCAGAGGCCATGCAGGCACATTTACCTGTTTAGTGAAACAAAGGTAGAAACATATTTATGGCGAACACGGATTCGAACCCATGATCGCGGGTTACTGGCTCTCCTAAGGGCCGCAACTCTGCTCTCAGTCAATTGTGAATCTAGAATCTGCAAGGTGAAAGAAAGTCAACGTATATATACTCACCAAAATGCATAGTATCCAATGACATAAATCTTTTTGAAAATAAATATAATTAATTACGAACGTGTCCGGAGCCATATCGTCACAAGAAACCAATGTCAATGGAAGGAATATTTTATAGATGTGTCTGACTAAACACATATCACACTGTTCAACAGGCAGATAAATGTATTGAAAATCAGGATTCTCTAATATACATGTATGGTTTCTGCAGTGATGATGCTGATAACATCTCATACAGAGATCTGATGCAAGAAGAGACTGAAGCGACCGTAAAAGATCTCACGAGAAGCCGTGGTATTTTGACCGAGGTGATACAAAGCAATTACTTTCAATCAGATCCTCTTCGCACTTAAATATAATTGCAATAACACTTTGACGACGTGAATATATCTAGCAGAACGGGAACAGGTCGGGGCTAAAAACAGTTCGTTATATAAGCCAATTCGTTATAAACGAGTTCGTAATAAACATAGTTTACTGTACGTATATTAACTCCATCAACCCTCCATACATTTTCGTCGATATATCAACATACATACTATAGGGACAGGGGCCCGAAAAACAAAACGTTCGTAGCACTATGCCTTCCGTAAGCCAATGATAAAAAGTATGGGGATACGATATGTCGTAACTTTACGAACCCATTGTGGATCAGGACCCAGAAAAATAACTGCTAAGTGCTAGTATCCAAGTCCTGAAAGTCCCAATCGTACCAGACAGGGAATGTGTGCTGAGACGTCCTCACCACTACACATCCCTGCCAGACAAGACCAGAATATTGTCCGTACAATAATTGTGGTGCGCCGGTGGAAGATGCTAACCATTTCTTTTTAAAATGTCCAAAATTTGTCAGCTGCCGTTTTGATCTGAAGCAAGACTTTGAACTATCAAAAGTTCACTGAGACATTGATACCATTCTTTACGGCAACCCTGCTATGCCAAATACTATGAATGAAAATATCTTTAGACATGTGTATAATTACATTGTACGAAGTACGGCTCCGATTAATGAATAATATGTCTTAATATTATTATGTCCATTCATTACGTCCATTCGTTATTGTTCATGTTTCTGATGGGAGCGGGCGGTAATAAGTTACATAACTTGTGCCCAATCCATTTCAACATTGAATAAAATATATTCAAACAAACAATTGTTCGCGACATACTCACTCAAAAGGTCACACGAGGACTCTCACATACCTGGACTTATTGTTAGAGTTCCGATTGTAAAGACAAGGAGACACAGAGCCACATCCGCCATTGCTGCTACGATCGACAGGGAACCAAAGTCAAAGATAAGCGTGCTACTTGTAAAAATTATCAATGGTTTCATGAACTACAGGAACGTTTTAAAACAACATAAAAGTATCGGTCAAGTTTTAAACAGATTTAGACAAGAAACTTTCCTTTCAGGATTAAGTTATAGTCAGTCAAATTGCACAAAGTTGATATGGAATAAACTATATAAAATGTGATATAGATTTAATTCTTATTCTTAACAAGAATGGACACTCCTATCTATGTCCTGTTTTAATTTTTGAGGATTTAAAAATATATATGAGAACAACCAGCTGCAGACATTGATAACGTTTTTGTTTCATATGTGTAGATGTAGTGAGCGAGTGAGTGTGGCTTCACGTCGGTGTTAGCAAGAGTCTAGGAGTCCCGATCCCGTGACGATCCACAAGTTCATCAATTCTAGTGGGCGTTCGTGACCATACAGATGAAGTAATTTCTGTGACCTGACATGAAGAAGTGTAAAACGGCTCCACTGGTCAGACCGTGTCTAACATCTTTCAATTCTCACGACCATTCATATTGGAGGCGTGTCTAACGTCTTTACTCATGACCATACAGATGAAGGCGTGTCTAACGTCTTTACTCACGACCATACAGGTGAAGGCGTGTCTAACGTCTTTACTCATGACCATACAGGTGAAGGCGTGTCTAACGTCTTTACTCATGACCATACAGGTGAAGGCGTGTCTAACGTCTTTCACTCACGACCATACAGGTGAAGGCGTGTCTAACGTCTTTCACTCACATCCATACAGGTGTGTCTAACGACTTTCATTCACAACTATACAGGCGAAGGCGTGTCTAACGTCTTTACTCATGACCATACAGGTGAAGGCGTGTCTAACGTCTTTACTCATGACCATACAGGTGAAGGCGTGTCTAACGTCTTTCACTCACGACCATACAGGTGAAGGCGTGTCTAACGTCTTTACTCACGACCATACAGGTGAAGGCGTGTCTAACGTCTTTACTCATGACCATACAGGTGAAGGCGTGTCTAACGTCTTTACTCACGACCATACAGGTGAAGGCGTGTCTAACGTCTTTACTCACGACCATACAGGTGAAGGCGTGTCTAACGTCTTTACTCACGACCATACAGGTGAAGGCGTGTCTAACGTCTTTACTCACAACCATACAGGTGAAGGCGTGTCTAACGTCTTTACTCATGACCATACAGGTGAAGGCGTGTCTAACGTCTAACGGCTTTCACTCCCATCCATACAGGTGAAGGCGTGTCTAACGTCTTTACTCACGACCATACAGGTGAAGGCGTGTCTAACGTCTTTACTCACGACCATACAGGTGAAGGCGTGTCTAACGTCTTTCACTCCAATCCATATGACCATACAGGTGAAGACTTTGTCTAACGTCTTTACTCAGGTGTGTCTAACCATACAGGTGAACTATACAGGCGAAGGCGTGTCTAACGTCTTTACTCATGACCATACAGGTGAAGGCGTGTCTACCGTCTTTACTCATGACCATACAGGTGAAGGCGTGTCTAACGTCTTTCACTCACATCCATACAGGTGAAGGCGTGTCTAACGTCTTCCACTCACGACCATACAGGTGAAGGCGTGTCTAACGTCTTTACTCATGACCATACAGGTGAAGGCGTGTCTAACGTCTTTCACTCACATCCATACAGGTGAAGGCGTGTCTAACGTCTTTACTCACGACCATACAGGTGAAGGCGTGTCTAACGTCTTTACTCATGACCATACAGGTGAAGGCGTGTCTAACGTCTTTCACTCACATCCATACAGGTGAAGGCGTGTCTAACGTCTTTACTCATGACCATACAGGTGAAGGCGTGTCTAACGTCTTTCACTCACATCCATACAGGTGAAGGCGTGTCTAACGTCTTTCACTCACATCCATACAGGTGAAGGCGTGTCTAACGACTTTCACTCACAACCATACAGGTGAAGGCGTGTCTAACGTCTTTCACTCATGACCATACAGGTGAAGGCGTGTCTAACGTCTTTCACTCACATCCATACAGGTGAAGGCGTGTCTAACGTCTTCGACTCACGACCATACAGGTGAAGGCGTGTCTAACGTCTTTACTCATGACCATACAGGTGAAGGCGTGTCTAACGTCTCCCACTCACGACCATACAGGTGAAGGCGTGTCTAACGTCTTTACTCATGACCATACAGGTGAAGGCGTGTCTAACGTCTTTACTCATGACCACACAGGTGAAGGCGTGTCTAACGTCCTTCACTCACATCAATACAGGTGGAGGCGTGTCTAACGTCTTTCACTCACGACCATACAGATGAAGGCGTGTCTAAAGCATTCTACTCACAATCATACTGATGAATGCGTGTCTAACGACTTTCACTCTCATCCATACAGGTGAAGGCGTGTCTAATAACTTTCACTCACATCCATACAGGTGGAGGCGTGTCTAATGTCTTTCACTCACATCCATACAGGTGGAGGCGTGTCTAACGTCCTTCACTCACATCCATACAGGTGGAGGCGTGTCTAACGTCTTTCACTCACGACCACACAGATGAAGGCGTGTCTAAAGCATTCTACTCACAATCATACTGATGAATGCGTGTCTAACGACTTTCACTCTCATCCATACAGGTGAAGGCGTGTCTAATGTCTATCACACAAAGAAGATCAGACGTGCTTCTGAGAAACAGTGGCGTTCTACAAAGTTAGAAGCTCACCGTCAAATCTTCAAAAAAGCTCGAAATGATGTCAATGATGCCTTGAAACTAGCTATCAAGAGCATCAAGCAGAGTAAAAACAACTTCAAACAGATGTTCGCTCTGGTGAATAACTTACTTGCACCTAAGTCTAACTATAACCTTCCCGATCATGACGACAAAGAGGAATTGGCTGGGAGATTTGCTGAATTCTTCCACACCAAGATTCACTCCATTCGACAGGAACTGGAACTGAAACGCCAAGTTCACGACATCACTACACTGGAGTCTTTCGACAGTGTTTCAACAATGAATTCTCTCAACTGCGCCACCTCTGGAGAGGTTCGAGACGTAATCATCAAGTCCAAAACCAAATCATCTTCACTTGACCCAATTCCAACATGTCTCACAAAGTCTATAATTGACCATCTTGCTGAACCAATCCTGGATATCATCAACACATCCCTCGTCTCCGGTATAGTACCAAGTGCCTTCAAGCATGCCCTTGTGACACCAATTCTGAAGAAACCAACACTTGATCCAGAGGACTTGAAGAGCTTTAGGCCGGTATCTAATCTGTCATTTTCATCGAAGTGTCTGGAAAGAATTGTTGCTAAGAGGCTCCTTGATCATTTTCACGCTAACAATCTCTTGGAAATTTATCAGTCAGCATATAAATCTAAACACTGCACAGAGACAGCTCTTATGTACATTCACAACGATATCATGACTGCAATGGACCATCAGCAAGTTACTCTTCATATTCTCCTGGACTTATCAGCGGCTTTCGATACCATCGATCACTGTATCCTCTTCAGGCGGCTAGAGACCATCGTTGGACTCACAGGAACGGCACTGCAGTAGGTAAAATCGTATCTTTCTTCTCGGTCAGTAAAGTCAGTAAAGATCGGTGACAAAATCTCAGTACCATCATTGGTTCGCTATGGAGTGCCACAGGGTTCTGTTCTGGGACCCCTTCTCTTCAGCTTGTACATTCTACCAATTGGAGACATCGTGAGAAGTCATACCCTAAAATTCCATCTCTACGCTGACGATAATCAGTTGTATATTTCCATCAAACCATCAGAAGTTTCACAAGGAGTTCATAAGATCGAACTCTGCATAATGGATATCCGGGAATGGATGGCTGTCAACTATTTGAAGTTGAACGACGGCAAGACTGAGTTCCTTGCCATAGGCTCACGGCAACAGCTGCAGAAGATGCCACTTGGAATCACACTCAAGATAGGAACTGAGGCTGTGAAGACCTCAAACTCAGCCAGAAATCTGGGAATCATCTTCCAGTCCAACATGTCCCTAGATGAATATGGCAAGTCCCTCTGCAAGTCATGTTTCTTTCACATCTACAACATCGGCAAGATCCGCAACTTCCTAGACACTGAGACAACAAAGCTCCTAATGCAAACACTTGTAATCTCAAAGCTGGACTATTGCAACTCACTCTTTTGCAACACGGCATCTTCAACACTTTCTAAATTGCAGAAAATTCAAAACGCAGCAGCTCGTGTGGTCTCTCGAACCCATCGCCATGACCATATATCGCCAGTTCTGAAATCCTTTCACTGGCTTCCAGTAAAATTACAGGATCTACTTCAAGATTCTGCTACTGACTCATAACTGCCTCTACGATGACCCATACAGACTACCTTTCGCCAGCTTGTACATCTGCATGTACCCACCAGAGCTCTCAGATCAATAGATACGTTAAGACTAACACAGACAAGCACTAAAACATCAGTGGGTGATAGAGCCTTTTCTGTAGCAGCACCAGCTCTGTGGAACAATCTTCCAGTCACCCTCAGACAAACTGAGTCCCATTCACAATTCAAGAACTTGCTCAAAACCTACTTCTTCAAGATGGCATTATTAACCATACAGGTGAAGGCGTGTCTAACGTCTTTCACTCACAACCATACAGGTGAAGGCGTGTCTAACGTCTTTCACTCACAACCATACAGGTGAAGGCGTGTCTAACAACTTTCACTCACAATCATACAGGTGAAGGCGTGTCTAACGTCTTCCACTCACGACCATACAGATGAAGGCGTGTCTCACGTCTTTACTCGTGACCATCCAGGTGAAGGTGTGTCTAACGTCTTTCACTCACTTCCATACAGGTGAAGGCGTGTCTAACGTCTTTCACTCACAACCATACAGGTGAAGGCGTGTCTAACGACTTTCACTCACAACCGTACAGGTGAAGGCGTGTCTAACGTCTTACACTCACAACCATACAGGTGAAGGCGTGTCTAACGACATTACTCATGACCATACAGGTGAAGGCGTGTCTAACGTCCTTTAGTCACGACCATACAGGTGAAGGAGTGTCTAACGACTTTAACTCACGACCATACATATGAAGGCGTGTCTAACATCTTTACTCATGACCATACAGGTGAAGGCGTGTCTAACGTCTTTACTCACAACAATACAGGTGAAGGCGTGGCTAATGTCTTTCAATACAATCATACAGGTGAAGGCGTTTCTAATGTCTTTCAGTCACAACCATACAGATGAAGGCGTGTGTAATGTCTTTCACTCACAACCATACAGGTGAAGGCGTGTGTAATGTCTTTCACTCACAACCATACAGGTGAAGGCGTGTCTAACGTCTTTACTCACAACAATACAGGTGAGGGCGTGGCTAATGTCTTTCACTCACAACCATACAGGTGAAGGCGTGTCTAATGTCTTTCACTCACAACCATACAGGTGAAGGCGTGGCTAATGTCTTTCACTCACAACCATACAGGTGAAGGCGTTTCTAATGTCTTTCACTCACAACCATACAGGTGAAGGCGTGTCTAATGTCTTTCACTCACAACCATACAGGTGAAGGCGTGTGTAATGTCTTTCACTCTCATCCATACAGGTGAAGGCGTGTCTAACGACTTTCACTCACATCCATACAGATGAAGGCGTGTCTAATGTCTTGCACTCACATCTATACAGATGAAGGCGTGTCTAATGTTTTTCACTCACAACCCTACAGGTGAAGGCGCGTCTCACGTCTCGATAAGAAAGAGAACACCAAGCTCACTGAAATTGATAACATGACTCCTTGAATTAGTTTCCGTGTTTTATTGGACTTTATCATACGTCCTTCATCCGACGATAGTCGAGCCCTGAACCTGCAACACGTGGTAGTTATTGGCATCCTCCACGAACCCCCCTGCGTTCGTCTTCGTGAGGTTGACGATCATTGGTGGATGTCCACAAAGCTGAACCGCCATCTGCCAACAGAAGGGCATGGATGAGCTACCCACCTCCCTGGTGTCGTATTTCGATTACATTTATCTATTTCACACTCACTGAACCACATTATCCCCCCTTTCGCCCAACTCTTTCTGTAACGTGAAAGCCCAAATTGAAGCAAGTCTTGATTTCCTAAATTGCATGGTCTGAATCTCCGACCTCACTAGTCCTCCTTTTCAGTAAATGTACAGACCACCGCCATATAGTAGGAATAGTGCTGAGTGCGGCGTCAAATAGACAGTTTAAATGGAATTATTTGTATCTATGACAAATACATATTCCCGGAGACTAAGCATTAGCACCCCCGACTTGATGCATGATCCCGCCTCATCTTGTCCCCGTGAAGATCTGGTTTAGAATTGGTCTTCAGCAGTCCATGCTTGTCGTAAAAGCGGGTGGTCAGACTCACTGACTTGGTTGACACACGTCATCGTATCCCACATTTCGTAGATCGATGCCCATGCTGTAGATCACTGTATTGTGTGGTCCAGACTCGACTATTTACAGACCGCCGCCATATAGCTGGAATACATAGGCGCATCCAGAGGAGGGTGGGGGGTGGGTGGTGCTAGGGGTGGTTTCATGGGTACACCCCACCCCCTTTTGTCCTGAAAGTGTATTAAATGACCATTGAAACTCTCGTGAACACGCGTGAAAATGAACTGGGCACCCCTCTTTCTCAACCCTGCAAAATTGCTGAGTGCGGCGTTAAACAACCAACCAACCAACCAACCAAGCCCCATCTTGTGACGTATGCTTCTCACCGAAAATCCTTGATCCGTGCAGCCGAGGAAGACACCCGAGATGCTATGTTCGTCCTCCACGTATAGCCCAAACACAAAAGTTGCAACGGGGGTGTAGGCCGGTACCATGCAGCATATGTCTACTACCTGTGAGTGAGTGAGTGAGTGAGTGATATCATATCAATCACATTGCACGTTACTAAATACACTGCATGAACGTGAAAAAAACACATAACAGGTCAGATGAATTGTGAATCATTTTACGATGTCATCAAACGGGGGCACTCTGTGACGTCTTAGTTAACATCATGCTGCCTAAAACTCGTCATAAAATATAGAAATGCGATTTTATTTAAGTTTAAAATTACAATTCATTTGTAAAAACAATTGGAATTTCGTGTAACCACAGATGCTTGTAGTGTGTCTTTTCACTTTCACACGAGAAAATTCGGATCGGCTGAAAAGTAGGTCATTGTCTGAATTGGTTCATGAGACTCATGTTTCGGTTTGAAACAAAAATCATTGCCACGCTTTCTTTTTCTCGTTTTGGCCTGAGATCAGAACCCGAAGGAGTCCTACCTTAAGACCAGGATGCCATTGGTCTACATCCGGGACGTTGCAGTAACTAAGGACGAGAGCCTCGGACCTGTCAGCTGCCCCATCCGCGCATCTGCCGGCCTTACCATGGCTTGTTAAAGCCTTTTGTTGGACCGCCCAGTCGATGTTGCTTCTGGTGCAGCCTGGAGCTTGTGTCCTCAAGGCTGAAGTCATAACACGCAGCATCAGATATCGAATTTAACATTGTCCACTTGTTTCGCCCGGAACATGGATTGATGAACCCTCCATTTTAGTTAATGGTCCCTTAGGCGGACGACATTAGAAGATACATAACCCATATCTCACAAGGGAGTGATGAACTAACGTATCCTACCGCAAATCTAATTATATTGTAGACATAATTTGTCCAAGTCGGTTTTGGTTGATTAGTTTAACGCCACACTCAGCAATTTTCCAGCTATATGGCGGCGGTCTGTAAATAATCGAGTCTGGACCAGAAAATCCAGTGATCGAGATCATGAGCATCGTTCTAAGCAATTGGGATACGATAACATGTGTCAATCAAGTCAGTGAGCCTGACCACCCGATCCCGGGTCTTACGAGAAGCATGTCCCCCTTTTCTCAAAAAGCTTAGCAATAGTGGCCAAAACATTTAGGTAACGTTCAAGGTCATGGCCGGGACATGAAAGTACCAAGAAAGGGACGGAACTCCAAATTTAACATTTGTTACAAAAAGGGAGGTAACTTGGATAAGACGCCACGTTTTGTGGACACTCGATCGTCATGATCAATGTGATGTCCTTGTGAATAGGACAATCGAATAACATTAAGGCATTTTGAAGACTTACTCTTATCGTGGACGTCAATGACGACCTCACTGTAACTCAGAGCCGCGGACATGTATGCGGCGCTGCAGTAATAGTTCTGCAGATCAGCAGTCTCGGGGTTGTTGAGTCTGACTGAGAGGCGACCTTTACCCCAATTGGTTTGAATCAACTTAGATGATAGACGCCTGTCCAGCACTATGAGAGAGTTGTACTGGGCACCAACAATTCTGGCTATAGGGCTGTTATCGCCCCCGATCGTCTTCCTCCCCAATTCAATGCTGAATACGTCCGAGACTGACGCTGTGACCCTGCAGTCGAACTCGATTCTGCTTGTCTTGGCGGCTCCACACATGGTGATCTCTGAGGGGGTGACCGTAAACGTCAAACCGGTCCCTGGGGATACACAACGGTGAATATATACACATTGACAGGTCTAGCTATCCCGGGTCATGTCGTTCACACCGCATTGTTTCAGGTCTTATTGAAATTTATTGTGCACTTCAGCAGAGGTCTGTTCATTTATAACAGATAACTGACTGACTGACTGAGTTTGGTTTTACGCCGCTTTTAGCAATACATCAGCAGAAATGGGTCTGTCCATTTATAACAGATAACAGTACTAAGTGTTGACACCTCGTGTTTTTACTTCTTAGATCTTTGATATTATCTCATTGCTTCATGATAATCCGGACGTTCTCGTAACACTGTCGTACGGTTTAACGGGGTTTTACTGGCTCTCTAGAAGGATGAGATAAAAACTATCTCACTATCTCCATGTGAACAAGGATGGAATAGCTGACATTATGATATTTTTTAACAAAAACGCACTTCACTCCAGCAAATGTGTTTATAAGTATTTACAGTGTAAACCATTTACCGCGGTTAAACAGAAACAAGAAACAATCAAAATGTGCCATATATAATTAGAATTCATATGTTACATAAAGAACTCACCGAGTTGGGCCAGGGCACCATTACATAATAGAAGGATTACGAGAGAGACCACGATCATAGAGCCGTCCATTTTGTCAGTGCCCTATTTAGCTGAGCTGATAGCGTGTCTATAGCGTGTTTGGGTATTGTGACACAGGAGTCTTGTGTTGGATATGTAACAAGCCATATAATTTTACATACTCAACCAGATTAAAAACTTGAGACTAGCGAAATTTAATCTCACAATGAAATTAGTGTGTGAGTTAAATTATGAAAATAGATGTGAATTTTACAGCTGTCGTTTAGGTCACAACATAATTATTAAAAGTGATGAAAAAGTGATGAAAAGTGATTACCGCATCGTTTTATTGGAAAAGAAATGCAAGACGTTCTATGATCTCCAACGCGAACTTCACACTTATGAAATAGAAGAAGGCAATAACGACCTCCTAAGAAAGCCGTGACGGCAACTCAACATCTTCTCATGAGCAGGAGAACCTGTCGGAACACTCTGACCTCCATTGGTCAACAAGCGCCTGCTAAAACTCTTGCAAGGTGTGGGGTTGGTTCGTCTGTGGCGCACTTCCCAGTTAATCCCGAATGTTCGATCGTGTTCGTGGAAAGGGAACGCCTGTCCATGACGTCAACTCCCCGGCGTTAAGTAAGCAGTACGCTCTTCAGAAGTTCAATATGGGGCGTAGCGTTTTCATGTTGAAATGCCAGTCCAGGATCAAGGACTGGGGTCAAAACATGATCCTGATACTGCATGACAGTAAGATTTCCCCGGAACGAATTGAGACCCCTGGCACAAAACGCTCCTCCAATACTTACGAACCTATCTTAAACGTTTAACATGATGAAATTGCGTCAGGATAGGTTCTTCGTATGGTTGTTCTCTGTATGGTACTTGCAGTGCGCCCTCGATTTCTGATGTCTGTATTAGCCTTCAACTTCTGAACAACTGTCTGCGAGTGGAGGTTGCAGTCACAAAACAGTTGCGGAAATGACGTAAAAGATCTGTAGGCCCCTGTGCATTGTAAAGGTAAAGATTAGGGTCATTACGGAGGTCATCATAAAATTTACATTCAGAGATAAAATGAACTTCATTTGTCCCTGGATTATGCACTGTCTGATGACTACAGAGCAGGTCCGGTTTCACAAAGCGATCGTAGCGCTACGACTGTCGTAAGTGCATGTTCAAGTATGGGAGTTACGATCATCTTAGCCCTACGATCGCTTTGTGAGGGCCAACTTGCACTAAGCTAGCTTAGAGCTACGCTGATCGTAACCCACATACTCTAACATAGGCTTAATGTAAGACGATCTTAGCGCTAAGATCCCTTTGTGCAAGTGGGCCCTGGGCTTGTGCAACTGCTGCAACGGATTCTCCAACGCTCACGTTGCTCATTCGTAAGGTGCGTCAAAGTAACATTTTTATAAAACTTCTAATTTTGATGCGTTTCTTGTTAGCATTCCAATGAACGCGCAATCGCTAAGGTGATCACGTGACTCGCAACACCTGATTGTATATTTGATGACAGTTTTTTCAGGTTGGAAGCCAAAACCACGTTCAAATAGCCTACATGCCGTTCCCGTTTGTATGGCACAAGATACTAAACAGAATTATACCACTTAAGGTTATTACTAGTAATGTGGGTATAACGTTTGTAGTTTGGCTGAGTATACATCAGGTGTCAAGGCTGACTGTGTCGGGGAAGTTCAGCAAAAACGGTGGTATCAGGGTCTGGGCATCTGGGAATCTTGAAGAATTGAACACAAGGCTGGTTCTCACTGAACGCAACATTACTACAGCGAATATCTTCTGGCAATTACATTGTTTTAGGTCAAATAGGCATACACGTATTGTCACTGAAAATATAGGTGTACTTTCTTTTTGACGTCGGTATACACACACACGCACATGAACCGACGTTTCAATTACCGGAAACTGTTCCCTCAAACATACAATGTGGGTTCCGGCAGAAATATTGTTGGGCATGAAAGTCAGCAATACCGTTTCTTCAGTAATTTGCCAACATCCATTATTTTGAAGAGGTATGTCTATGTCGCGAAGTTCGTAATATTCAGTATCTTGTTGATACAGTTTACGAAGTATCTGACATATTTGTGAAATTCAACACCTTGCTGTTCAGTTTTCCTTCTCGTGACCATCAATCGGATGTGTTCCTGTGTTCTGAAAACAACCTGGAACCGCTCTTAGGAGCTCAATTACTTCATAGAACAAATATTCAGGCTCTCAATTACTTTTTGTCTGAATAAAAATCTATGGTGTAGTAATGTAATTTTAAACACTTTAATACGGTCTATTGTACAGAATGGCCATGTGTTTTTCCTTTGCGAACATCTGTCCTTCTACTTCCTGGATCAAGAAAAGTCAACAATTACAGTGACTGGTGGAGATGTTGGTGGTAGTAGCAAATACTGAGGTTTGATTCCCTTCTTCCTGCACTAGATCAAGAACTGACACTGTGTTTCTTGCAGCAGCAAATTCTTCTTCCAGACCATGCTAAACGAAGACCATACTACCCGGAGACCCCCCTCGTCCCAGGACCTGATCATTCCGAGACAGTCCCACCCCAGGAACGTTCTCACCGACGTTCTCACCTGCTACCCGTGAAGGTCCGGGTTAGATATGGTCTTCAGCAAGCCATGCTTGTAAGAGGCGACTAACGGGATCGGGTGGTCAGGCTCGCTGACTTTGTTGACACATGTCATCGTATCTCTTGTGAAGCTTGTGAAGTTGATCGCTGGATTGCCTGGTCCAGCCTCGATTATTTACAGACCGCCGCCATGTAGCTGGAATATTGTTGATTGTGGCGTTGAACAATAAACAAAGACACCACAGAAAAAAATCTGCTTCCTAACGGTACGAGGACGCTGTTCCACTCTGCCTGTTCTCCCCTGTGGCAACGTTTCACAAAGTGTACTACGTGCATCGTGCCAAGGGCCTCGCAGATATATTCCTTGGTCGTTCTGCAAACGGATTTGCGGTTTGCACGCCTCAATACATACCGTTAGAATCTGGGAATTAATTATTTAGTTCATGTATCAAGTACTTAAAGTTAGTAGAGAGACACCCATGCTTTTTTTCTTTGACGAGCAGTATGCCAATATTATGTAAATGACATCTGTTGAGAGAGTACATATTCCATTTCAAAATGTGAGTATATCTCCATGCCGAGTTCAGTATCCAATGTCTTGTATGTGACAGTGTGTCTTGAGGGAATTACCTCTTGAGTGAACGAAGGGAAATATCAGCATCAATGTTCCGGAACTTTTGGTACCCAATATATAAACAATAAATGGGATGGGAAGGTTCCTATAGAATGAAATGTTTCTTAGTAAGGCTTTTGTGCCGATGGCCTGGAAGCGCAGCCTTATCACAGATAATCTTTGACACGAACTAAAATTACAGTACACAATAGAAAAAGATTAAAGTAACAACATTAATGCTTGTTTGTTTGTTGTTTAACGCTGCACTTAGCAATACCTCCAGCTATACGCCAGCGGTCTGTAAATAATCGAGTCTAGATCAGACAATCCAGTGATCAACAACATGAGCATCGATCTACGCAATTAAGATGCGATGACATGTGACAACCAAGTCGGAAAGCTGACCACCCGATACCGTCGATTATACGACAATCATGGGTATATTGAAGACAAATTCTAACCCAGATCTTCATGGGTCTATTGCCCCATAGCTCTTTAAATGAAATGGTTAGGGACAATACATACTTGGATTTCACTTTTGAGACGTGTGATGAGGCGGACATGCCCGCTTCCGGATGCTGGTAGCTATTCAGAAGAAATCAGGACAGACCGCAACTTTTCCACTAGTTCATTTGATGAATATAATGTCCAGTCACTGTGCTCATTAATGTACATACAAAAATATTTTAAAATATATTCTGAATTACGTCTGCTGGGAACATAAAGATAATGCTACGTAGAAGGAAAGAAAAAAACTTAGGTTAACTTCAATTCCATGCAGGTCCTATTTATGTAACCACGTCTCTCTTATCTACCAGCCATACAAAGTTTGAGATAACATGGAATGAAGTACATGTTTCCAAACGTCCTGGTACAGGTGCCCGTTTTCAGATAAGCAATAGTCTTGAGAATTCTTTGTACACATTTGGTGATTCAGTTTTGGGTGATCCATACAATTCTTCCTAAGAGTGCGATTTGCAAGAACACGTGTGTTGGTCTTTAAATGATACCCGTGCTTTACCTCAAAACTAAACAAAATTAAAACCCACACCCACACTGCATCCAAATCCACATCCCAAACCAGCCCGACCCCACCCACGCATACACAACCAGCCCCGATCATATTGCACATCCAACACACCCCACGGACACTACATAACCTACCATATCCTTTCCCACATCCACATTCCCACCTCCTAACACAAACCCACCCTTAACCAAACCCACACCCCCACACAGTCAAATATAGAACACCAACGCTGAAGAACAACCAGTTTCAATTTTCTTACGAAATGTACCCATTTAAGCATTAAGGCAAAATCTCAGGGAATACCTATATGATTCGATCACTAAGGTCAGATTCTGACACCGGGTGTTTGCGAAAAAGTAGACATGTCCTGGCGTGCTGGTATACCATGTTATAACCATGTGATCTTCAACATACTGCAAACACTGGGTACTTCTGCTTGGACTCCCGAAATGCTTTGTGTGTGTAGATGCACCTCCAGCGTCACAGCCACAATGATGCTCTGTTCGACTGACCCCGTGGGAGCAACGTTCCATTGTTGACACAGGGGTGTTTGCAAAGAGGCTAACATGTCCCGCCGAACAGGTATAACACCCTATAGACATGTGATCTTCAACAGTGTTTCATACGACAAACACTGGGTACTTCTGCTCTGACTCCCCAAAGGCGTTTTGTATGTAGATGCCCCTCTCAACTTCACAGCCACAAAGATGTACTGTTTGACTGACCCCTTGGGACCAAAGTCGCATTGTTAATTATTGCAAAGGCCTTCGCTATTCCTTTTGACTGCACACGTACCCAATCACTGGTGAACTGAAGGGAATAAATTTATGGTCAGGTAAACAAGTACAACATGCATAGACGACATACAAAAATGCTTCTCAGGCAGATATATTTTCTACCCACCTCGCTGTTTCTGCCAGATTTTCCAGATGATATGTTGATCAGGTATTATAAGTCGAGTTTCACTTAGTGAGAAACGTTGATTTTCAAAATATTTTCTGCCCAATTCCGAGCGAAACAGTGAGCACTCGACGGACGGTAGGACATAAAAATATATTTTGAAACAAAATTAGCATAGAGAGGAACCCCAACACATGGACACTGTGACATTGAATACGGCTCATGATACATTGTCAGTTCTTTAGCATTATTTCATGGATAACGGAGTGAGCTTCATGTGAATGTTTACTGTAAATAGAAACATATCATCTAGGAGATATATTCATTTGTAACCGACGGCGTTAGCCTGAGGTTTCAAATGAACTATTCCCGTGCTTCAAATACTCAATAACACCCGGCCAACACGTGATGTTTATCGACATTGTAAAGACAAAAGTAAACCAAAAGGCCCACATGGGTTTTACTGTCTGCTCTCATTGACATCGAGTCATGATTTTCAAAATATTTTCTGCCCAATTCCGGAGCGAAACAGTGAGCACTCGACGGACGGTAGGACATAAAAATATATTTTGAAACAAAATTAGCATAGAGAGGAACCCCAACACATGGACACTGTGACATTGAATACGGCTCATGATACATTGTCAGTTCTTTAGCATTATTTCATGGATAACGGAGTGAGCTTCATGTGAATGTTTACTGTAAATAGAAACATATCATCTAGGAGATATATTCATTTGTAACCGACGGCGTTAGCCTGAGGTTTCAAATGAACTATTCCCGTGCTTCAAATACTCAATAACACCCGGCCAACACGTGATGTTTATCGACATTGTAAAGACAAAAGTAAACCAAAAGGCCCACATGGGTTTTACTGTCTGCTCTCATTGACATCGAGTACGGGTACAGCAGTGAAGTGTCATCAGCTGGCCGTTTCAGCTGGTTCCCATGGTAGCATCTGGGACTGCTCATTTGTGACGTCATTCCGACTTTTCGTCACAATATGAATGACGTCACCACTGTTGACGCAACAATACAATGGTGTAGGCGATATTTGTACGTGTCAATACGCATTCTACCATGACTTCAGTAAACACTGGATTGTGATTGGTTAATTAAAGTCATTCAGAGGTATATAATCACGTTATACAGGTCTCTGTTTTCCGTGCGCAATCATACATGGTTTACGGTAATGCACTATTTTTGTCTGCCCACTAACATGGCGGACACCAAACAACCTACCGATGCATCGATAAATTACGGCGATTTTACTGTCGGAAATTACACATATGTCTTTAAAGATGGATTTAGCGATGACGGGCTCGACTCACTACTTGCGTAAATCACAGCAATAGGTGTTTATACATACAAAAGTACTTCGAAAGCATGGAAACAAATATTCAGTCGAACAAGATCAAAACATCGTCTGCTTTCCGAATACAAATTCAGCAAAAACAAATATGTTTACGTTGATTCTATGTTATGTCAGAATAGATCCAGCAATAGACTGCTACAAAATTTCCGTGTTAAATTTATTATCAGCTTTCGTCAACGATATCACCACTGATCTTGATCCGGTAACGGAGGATGCATTAACATCGAACGCCGAAGAAATTTTAATGCCTTCCGTCCACATAAATAAACAGTTGGGTTATCAATTCAAACAAAATGATATTTTGAAATTTGTACTGTTTCAAATTTAGCGGTAGTAAAACACAATTAGATCTACAGAATCTGCAAACCGTTCTGTTTAGCCCAACATATTTTTTTTCTAAATGTATAATATCGTTGAAAAAGTTATTTAGCTTAGTCATGATCCCTCTTATCCATTACACTGCTTGATCTAAAGTAGTCTATTAAAGTATAATTAATTACCTTACCGTGTTTATGCCAGAGGTACATCCTCGTGTCCTGATCCATCCTTTCGGAAATATCACCACAAATCTGGCTCTTTGTCAACAGACTCGCGAACATGCCAGCGAATCCGATTCAATTTGAATTCACTACACTTTGAAGCCACTAGGTCACAAAACACTTTCCAAAATGTAGAAAATAATATCCGTAGAATCGAATTTGAGCACAAAGTACACACATGAGTGTGTAAGAGTCACCACAGCTGTCGCACGCAGACGTAGAGGTGCGTGAAATCGTCAAGTTGACAGGGCGCAAAATTCAACAGTATCTAAATTCGGTACAACACGGACTTCTCGTTACAGCAAAAGCGCCCCTACTCTTAAATTTTGTACCAGTACCAGTAATTAGATATCAAAGACTATCTCAGTCATACAATCAGGTTAACCTTGCGCAAACTGTCAGTGGCTCTCCTGTCGCATCATTCCAAATGTAAAAGATGACTTCGAGAATAGGTCAAGGCCATGAGGTTGCTGCCACTATTCTGGTGGGGAAAGGGTCTACGGTGGAATTTTCAAATGTGAACCAAGCTTTTAAACTTATTTGATATATGTTTTCCAACTTATCAGTTAATGATTGGTGATTGATGCATTAAAAAAACAAAACGTGATTTGTTATTACTGAATCTGGAGTTTGTTAGTCATTGACGGTTTGCCACCAAACACCCCGTTTCGGGCGATACCACTTGAGATTGGAATGCGAGGCCGCTTCACGTATTGACTCGTAACCAAAGAAAGAGCTCCACCTGAAATTGTTCATAAAATTGTCATGGTAGAATGGAGATAAACCTACTGTGTTGGAAAATCAGAGGTATATAACGAAATTATAATAGTTCTAAATTGTTCATTTAAAACCTCACGCTACGCGTTCGGTTTTAAATGAAATTTAAGCTATTATAATTTCGTTATATACCTCTGATTTTCCCACACAGTAGGTTTATCTCCTAAGTGAATAGTCTTGCAGTTTCCGGTTTTTCAACTAATCAGATTAAAGAACACGGTGACTTTTGGTTTACAATTAGGATTTAAAGTGACGTACCAATATCCGGAAACATCACATTTTGTAGCATAATACAGATATTCTTGTTGCACGTTGTTATTTGATCATACCATTTTTGAAGGGTATATTATTTTTAATATCGGAATAAATACAACCCGGATAGATTGTGTAGTTCTTGTAAACACATGTCTTTCAAACCCTTAGAGTAGCGTGATTGATCTTCTTAGAATAAAAAGAACATGTATTGCAAGTATAATGTAATTTCAATTTTATGATGAAATATAAATATATTTATCAAAAACAAAACAATTTTTTTAAAGGACACGTATGTATGAAGGTCACGCGCTCATGGGTTTGTAAGTCACAGATTGGCTAAAGTCAGTATTGGAAATCAACCAATCTGACACATGCAGCCACCTTAGCATGCGGCGTGATGAAGTGCTGGAGCTCCCATACTTCCGGAAACACCGGAAGTCACTGCCGTCGAATGAGAGATTCCACTTTCTGTATCAGGCAGGATTCGTAATTCGTTTAGGCTTAACAGTATTATCCCGTCCAACGTTTATTCCATAAGGCTATATTTTCCAATTGACAGGTTTTCCACCAATAATGCATACCAATGCTGTGAAGTTACCATACACGAAATTCATACGAGTGCTTTTTATATGAAATATGGCGACGATGTTTTATCGAATTTTCATCTACTCGTTTTCATATATTAATTTGGTTCCAAAGGGTGACGAGGATGAGATTTCATGTTTTTGTTTCCGTTGGTAAACAGAATTAACTAGTGTATTGGGTGCGCGATGTAAAGCTTACCAGCTGTAATTGCAAATAATAATTATGTCATCTGATCTGGACCTCATGACAACAAGGACATCAAAATGGTCTGCATACCTGAAGTTCTTCCGGTTTTATTAATTTGGATACTTTTGTATTAGAGGTAACTGACCGATATATAAATATAGGTGTCATCTCAAGCTATTGTCACCTCTGGAACATCACTGGGTGGTGTGGTGGCCTATTGGTAATAGCCTCGGTTCGTCTCGCCGAAAATTCGGGTTCGATTCCCACATAGGTATAATTAGTGATACCCATATGTAGTGTTTCCAGTCATGATATTGTTGGAATATTGATAAACGGGGTGACGGCGTATTACCATAGTCAAGGGATAACGTGATTGGCTCGTAAGGACCAAGACCGGGTTCGTATCCCCATATGGGTGAAACCCATTTATGGCGCCTCCTACCCTAAAATAACTATACTTGCTAGATGATCTATATATAACATGTACTCTTTTGATCGGAATGATACACAGCGTAAATGCTGTCGTCTAAATCAACACTTCTCACTATAAAACTCCACCTTTAATACCGTTATTTATCTGGAAAATCAGCATGACCCATAAACAGCGAGGTAGGTAGAAAGATACATAGAGCTGATACGTTAATTGCAAAATCAGCATCACCCATCGCTAATGCATCGATCTGGTCGTATTACAAATATCGATTTGTATACCGCAGGGATGGTTAAGTAGAGTAAGCGGTAGCAGGGGTAGTGTACTACTGGCTGTCGACAGTGATGACTCTGCAAGTCGACCGGCAGTAACAACACTGGCAACTGCGCGGGATTAAGTGAACCACAACATCGTTGCAATGAGTTCTTTGGAGATTGTGTTAAAGATATAAACATGCAGGGGAAACCTTTACTGGAGTGACACCACAGCTGGGGTAAGTTCACTGACTCTTTATTAAAAGCACAAGTTCATGGGAAGAGCGAATTTCTCCCTTTTCAAAATATGCCTTAAGACATCGATGTTCCACTTGACCGTTGAATAATTTCTTTGTACGTTAGATTCACAATTTTAACAGAAAAAGACTTATGAATCATAAAATTAAGCCCAGTTTATGGCATGTAGGGACTTTTAAAGGTGTAGATAAAAAATATTTTGACTAACATTCGATGCATATCGCTGTAGGGACTCGGATAATGGGATTAATAGAAGCTGCTCCACCAAGCTTAAACCTTCGGAAACTTCATACCCACCGGCCATTTGACAATTTGATTATTTTTCCAGTAATATAGTATTACTGTTTCACACATAAATGCCAATGGGTTGGATTATTAAATGTATAATTAGAAGTGATGAAAACCATCGTAAAATTCTATTAAAAAGAACAGGTAGTTTACAGACTCTAACATTACACAGGGGGGTGCCATCGATCTTGTGCGCTTTATTGATTGTTCTGATAAATATCTCATCCACCCAGTTAACAATGAAGTGACTAGAACCGAACAACCAGGATGCAATCGCTGAGACAAATCGTTACTTGTCTTGTCGTTAATATTTCATGATGGTTTGGATCAAGGAAGTCCTCTGCAACTGGATCGGCGGGTTTTATTAGTGTTGTCAGTCTCTGGGCAGAATCCGCAGTGGGCACATGCAACAAATCATGCATGCTGCTACTGCCGGTGTTGTTTTGAACATGGACGCGCGCTGAACGAGGCTTATTTTGTAATTACTAGAAGCATTTTTTGTGGAAGGTAAATTGCTGTACGAGGTTTGCTTGGTGGGTAGGGGTTGGTGAATGAGGTTTGCTTGTTTGGTTGATGGTTGGTGTACGAGATTTGCTTGGTTGGTTGAGGATTGGTGAATGAGGTTTGCTTGGTGGGTGGAGGGTTGGTGTACGAGGTTTGCTTGGTGGGTGGAGGGTTGGTGAATATGGCTTGCTTGGTGGGTGGAGGGTTGGTGCACGAGGCTTGCTTGGTGGGTGGAGGGTTGGTGTACGAGGTTTGCTTGGTGGGTGGAGGGTTGGTGCACGATGTTTGCTTGGTGGGTGGAGGGTTGGTGTACGAGGCTTGCTTGGTGGGTGGAGGGTTGGTGAATATGGCTTGCTTGGTGGGTGGAGGGTTGGTGAATATGGCTTGCTTGGTGGGTGGAGGGTTGGTGTACCGAGGCTTGCTTGGTGGGTGGAGGGTTGGTGAACGAGGCTTGCTTGGTGGGTGGAGGGTTGGTGTACGAGGCTTGCTTGGTGGGTGGAGGGTTGGTGAACGAGGCTTGCTTGGTGGGTGGAGGGTTGGTGAACAGGAGGCTTGCTTAGTGGGTGGGTGAACGAGGCTTGCTTGGTGGGTGGAGGGTTGGTGTACGAGGCTTGCTTGGTGGGTGGAGGGTTGGTGAACGAGGCTTGCTGGGTGGAGGGGTGGGTGGTGGGTGGAGGGTTGGTGTACCAGGCTTGCTTGGTGGGTGGAGGGTTGGTGTACGAGAGCTTGCTTGGTGGGTGGAGGGTTGGTGTACCAGGCTTGCTTGGTGGGTGGAGGGTTGGTGTACGAGAGGCTTGCTTGGTGGGTGGAGGGTTGGTGTACCAGGCTTGCTTGGTGGGTGGAGGGTTGGTGTACGAGGCTTGCTTGGTGGGTGGAGGGTTGGTGTACCAGGCTTGCTTGGTGGGTGGAGGGTTGGTGTACGAGGCTTGCTTGCTTGGTGGGTGGAGGGTTGGTGAACCAGGCTTGCTTGGTGGGTGGAGGGTTGGTGAATAAGGTGTTTGGTGGGTGGAGGTTGGTGTACCATATGGCTTGCTTTGGGTGGGTGGAGGGTTGATGTAACGAGGCTTGCTTGGTGGGTGGAGGGTTGGTGTACCAGGCTTGCTTAGTGGGTGGAGGGTTGGTGTAATGAGGCTTGCTTGGTGGGTGGAGGGTTGGTGAATATAGCTTGCTTGGTGGGTGGAGGGTTGGTGAATATGGCTTGCTTGGTGGGTGGAGGGTTGAGTGAATGAGGGTGGCTTGCTTGGTGGGTGGAGGGTTGGTGTATACGAGGCTTGCTTGGTGGGTGGAGGGCTGGTGTAATGAGGATTGCTTGGTGGGTGGAGGTTGGTGAACACGAGGTTTGCTTGGTGGGTGGAGGTTGGTGTATATGAGGGATTGCTTGGTGGGTGGAGGGTTACTGAACGAGGGCTTGCTTGGTGGGTGGAGGGTTGGTGTACAGAGAGCTTGCTTAGTGGGTGGAGGGTTGGTGTACAGAGTTTGCTTGGTGGGTGGAGGGTTACTGAACAGGAGGTTTGCCCAGTGGGTGGAGGGTTGGTGTACGAGGAGCTTGCTTGGTGGGTGGAGGGTTGGTGTACGATAGCTTGCTTGGTGGGTGGAGGGTTGGTGTGAACGAGGTTTGCTTGGTGGGTGGAGGGTTGGTGTACGAGGATTGCTTGGTTGGTTGGAGGGTTGGTGAACGAGGCTTGCTTGGTGGGTGGAGGGTTGGTGTACCAGGCTTGCTTGGTGGGTGGAGGGTTGGTGAACAAGGCTTGCTTGGTGGGTGGAGGGTTGGTGTACGAGGCTTGCTTGGTGGGTGGAGGGTTGGTGTACGAGGATTGCTTGGTGGGTGGAGGGTTGGTGAACAGGGGCTTGCTTGGTGGGTGGAAGGCTTGGTGTACCAGATGGCTTGCTGCTTAGTGGGTGGAGGGTTGGTGAACAAGGCTTGCTTGGTGGGTGGAGGGTTGGTGTACGAGGCTTGCTTGGTGGGTGGAGGGTTGGTGTACAGGGGTTTGCTTGGTGGGTGGAGGGTTGGTGTACAGGTTTGCTTGGTGGGTGGAGGGTTGGTGTACGAGGTTTGCTTGGTGGGGTGGAGGGTTGGTGTACAAGGTTTGCTTGGTGGGTGGAGGGTTGGTGTACAGAGGTTTGCTTGGTGGGTGGAGGGTTGGTGAACGAGGCTTGCTTGGTGGGTGGAGGGTTGGTGTACGAGGTTTGCTTGGTGGGTGGAGGGTTGGTGTACAGAGGTTTGCTTGGTGGATGGAGGGTTGGTGTACGAGGTTTGCTTGGTGGGTGGAGGGTTGGTGTACAGGGAGCTTGCTTGGTGGGTGGAGGGTTGGTGTACCAGGCTTGCTTGGTGGGTGGAGGGGTTGGTGTACGAGGATTGCTTGGTGGGTGGAGGGTTGGTGTAGGGTTGGGTGAAAGGCTTGCTTGGTGGGTGGAGGGTTGGTGTACGAGGCTTGCTTGGTGGGTGGAGGTTGGTGTAATATGGCTTGCTTGGTGGGTGGAGGGTTGGTGTACCAAGGCTTGCTTGGTGGGTGGAGGAGTTGGTGAACAAAGGCTTGCTTGGTGGGTGGGGGTTGGTGAACCAGGCTTGCTTGGTGGGTGGAGGGTTGGTGTACAGAGGCTTGCTTGGTGGGTGGAGGGTTGGTGTACGAGGCTTGCTTGGTGGGTGGAGGGTTGGTGTACCAGGCTTGTTTGGTGGGTGGAGGTTGGTGTACCAGGCTTGCTTGGTGGGTGGAGGGTTGGTGTACGAGGCTTGCTTGGTGGGTGGAGGGTTGGTGAACCAGGCTTGTTGAAAAAAGAAACTTGGGTGGAGGGTTGGTGTACGAGGCTTGCTTGGTGGGTGGAGGGTTGGTGTACGAGGCTTGCTTGGTGGGTGGAGGGTTGGATGTAACGAGGCTTGCTTGGTGGGTGGAGGGTTGGTGTACCAGAGCTTGCTTAGTGGGTGGAGGGTTGGTGTACGAGGCTTGCTTGCTTGGTGGGAGGGAGGGTTGAGTGAATAGGCTTGCTTTGGTGGGTGGAGGGTTGGTGTACGAAGGCTTGCTTGGTGGGTGGAGGGTTGGTGAACGAGGCTTGCTTGGTGGGTGGAAGGTTGGTGTACGAGGCTTGCTTGGTGGGTGGAGGGTTGGTGTACGAGGGATTGCTTGGTGGGTGGAGGGTTACTGTACGAGGTTTGCTTGGTGGGTGGAGGGTTGGTGTACGAGGATTGCTTGGTGGGTGGAGGGTTGGTGTACGAGGCTTGCTTGGTGGGTGGAGGGTTGGTGTACGAGGCTTGCTTGGTGGGTGGAGGGTTGGTGTACGAGGTTTGCTTGGTGGGTGGAGGGTTGGTGAACGAGGTTTGCTTGGTGGGTGGAGGGTTGGTGTACGAGGATTGCTTGGTGGGTGGAGGGTTGGTGAACGAGGTTTGCTTGGTGGGTGGAGGTTGGTGTAATATGGCTTGCTTGGTGGGTGGAGGGTTGGTGTACGAGGATTGCTTGGTGGGTGGAGGGTTGGTGTACGAGGCTTGCTTGGTGGGTGGAGGGTTGGTGTACGAGGCTTGCTTGGTGGGTGGAGGGTTGGTGTACGAGGCTTGCTTGGTGGGTGGAGGGTTGGTGTACCAGGTTGGCTTGCTTGGTGGGTGGAGGGTTGGTGAATACGAGGCTTGCTTGGTGGGTGGAGGGTTGGTGTAACGAGGTTTGCTTGGTGGGTGGAGGGTTGGTGAACGAGGCTTGCTTGGTGGGTGGAGGGTTGGTGTACGAGGGTTTGCTTGGTGGGTGGAGGGTTGGTGTGAGGGAGGCCTGGTTTGGTGGGTGGAGGGTTGGTGTACGAGGTTTGCTTGGTGGGTGGAGGGTTGGTGTACGAGGCTTGCTTGGTGGGTGGAGGGTTGGTGTACGAGGCTTGCTTGGTGGGTGGAGGGTTGGTGTACGAGGTTTGCTTGGTGGGTGGAGGGTTGGTGTACGAGGATTGCTTGGTGGGTGGAGGGTTGGTGTACGAGGCTTGCTTTGGTGGGTGGAGGGTTGGTGAACGAGGATTGCTTTGGTGGGTGGAGGGTTGGTTGGTGTACGAGGATTGCTTGGTGGGTGGAGGGTTGGTGTACGAGGCTTGCTTGGTGGGTGGAGGGTTGGTGAACAAGGCTTGCTTGGTGGGTGGAGGGTTGGTGTACGAGGTTTGCTTGGTGGGTGGAGGGTTGGTGAATGAGGCTTGCTTGGTGGGTGGAGGGTTGGTGTACGATGGCTTGCTTGGTGGGTGGAGGGTTGGTGAACGAGGATTGCTTGGTGGGTGGAGGGTTGGTGTACGAGGATTGCTTGGTGGGTGGAGGGTTGGTGAACAAGGCTTGCTTGGTTGGTTGGAGGGTTGGTGCATACGAGGATTGCTTGGTGGGTGGAGGGTTGATGAATATGGCTTGCTTGGTGGGTGGAGGGTTGGTGAACGAGGTTTGCTTGGTGAGGGATGGGATGTGTTTTGGGGCCTGCATTGATTTTCTTTCTAGGTTTGCCAGCACCACACCTGTACTTGATGGTTTCAAGGGGCATGGGATATTTTTGTTGCAGATTACCCAGACACACAATGACGCAGCTGTTGGTGTGTGTACTCTCTACATTAGTGGCCACAGGTAAGCAAGTTAAGTCTGAAAGAAAACTGTTGAATATGCCATTGAGGTGCTTGCGCGTCTGAGTGTGCGTGTGCGTGTGCGTGTGCGTGTGCGTTTGTGTTTGCATGTGGCATGTGGTAGATTGTTTTCATACGTTGTTAATTTAGAGAACTATCACCAAGGTTATGAGCTAGAGGTATGATTAGGCCGCCTTTAGCAACAATATCACAACAGGGAGCACCTATATTGGGTTTCACCTATTGTACCAATGGAATGAAATCTTGGCCGTCGACTTGACATGAGAACGCTTTATACACCTCTGTTAACGAACCTGAAAATACATATTTGTGATAGTATGTCGAAAGATAGAACAGAAATAGTTTGACTGGAACCGAAGTCCTAAGTACGCACGATTGATCATGTTTCCCTTTCTGTCCGCCGACAGCTGTGGGCAAGTTTAACTGTCGTCGGGACGAGAGCATGTGTCTCAATGGCTCCAACTGCAACGATGACGACGGTATCTGTCGGTGCTCTGCACTCTACAGCGGAGTCGACTGCAGCATCGTGGAAGGTAAGATATACATAACTGACATTCAAAACTGGAAAACTCGTATTTTCACATTTTTAGGTTAGGCAAAAACTTTAGTTTCACTTGGGAGAAAAACCTAAAGTTATGCATGTTTACCAAACGTGAAAAGAACGCGCACGGTTTAGCTGCTGACAAATCTAGAAATGTACTCTTACAGACAAAAAGTAGTATGCTATGGGTTTGTTCATACATTGTGATTTGTTAACGTAGACACATGAATATGTTGATCTTGTTACATGGATATGTATATACATCATGATTAATTACGCACAACCGGGTTTCCTAATATATGCTTCCTTGAAAAAAGACTGAGATGTATAGTAGTAAATTGACAAACAATTCGACTGACACTACCTTCACACTGTAGCCACCCATACCCATTTCTTGACTTTTTGTGAAGAAATCTAAAAACATTCAACCGACGCTGATAAGTATCAGCCCGACGCTGACGTAATGAATTGGTCTGTTAATTTCTATGCAGTGAAAAACATTAAAGCCAATCTTGGAATCAAGACTGTCTCTGCTGTCGGTTTTTGGAGTATCGATCCCTCTCAAGGATGATAAGACCCGTGAAGATTCGGGGTAGAATTGGTCTTCGACCGATGCCTGGCGTAGGAGGCGACTAACGGGATCGGGTGGTCAGGCTCGCTGACTTGGTTGACACATGTCATCGTATCCCTGTCGCGTAGATTGATGCTTATGCTGTTGATCACTGGATTGTGTAGTCCAGACTCGATTATTTACAGACCGCCGCCATATAGCTGGAATATTAGCTGAGTGTGGTGTTAAACAACAAACAAACAAGGATGACATTGGCGAAGCAACAAATCATGATGTGACGAAGGTGAGGTGAGGTGAAATTGGGTTTATCGTCGTGCTTGAGAATATTTCGCTCATATGACGACGTGCATGCGTGTGTATGTGTATGTGCAAGTGCTTGTAACTAGCCCAGACTGAAGCTGGTTTTATAGTGCTAGCCCACTGAGATACCATGCCGCAGTGAAGCATAAATGCCCCACTCAGACACATTATACTGACTCCGAGCCGACCAGTCCTTGTTGTACTCATTAATGCCGAGCGCCAGGCAGGGACCAACAAGTACCATATTTTAACGTCTTTTGGTATGACGCGGTCGGGGATCGAACCCGCGACCTTCCGCTCTCTGGGCGGACGCTCTAACCACTACACCACGGAGGCGGTTTGATATGAGGAAGGGTTTTCAACATTGGGATCTTCCAACATTTTTATCAAGTGTCTGGGTCAGATCTTTCAGCTTTGAAGAAACAGTTCCACAATATTTCTCAAACCCTTTCCAGCCTTGCGTTCCACCCAGACCTCTTCGAAACAGTCTCAGCATCTATTTCTTGTACAAGTGAATCTGGTTAATTATGGACAGAGAAGCTTCTTCGAAGCATGAGTTCAGTGGGACAATTCTTCCCTTGAACTCCGCACTTCCAGAACCTATTCCACCTTTATCAAGACCAATCTCTTCCATCAAGCTTTCAACTATACCTTTCTCACATGGCTGCTCTTTGAGCATGTTATTGAACATAGACAAGCAAAGCACAAATTGACCTTGGGGTCTCACCTGACGGCCAAGGTAATATCAAAGGTGTTCAGTTGGGTTTAGATCAGGATTATGTTATTATGTTTAGCAACTGGATTTGAATAAGACTCATTGATTTCCAGCTGAAAAAGAACAAAGTCTGTGCTCATCCGGTCCTTGTCTTAATGGCGCCACGTGCAGCTCAGACTCGTCAACATACAAGTGCCACTGTACGGATAATTACTTTGGAACAAATTGCGGAACTTTGAGATGTAAGTTCAGTATAAGTGGGAGGAAGCAATGAGCTCTGTGCAGTATTGTAGTTACATCATACCGAGCTCTGTGCAGTATTGTAGTTACATCATGCCGAGCTCTGTGCAGTATTGTAGTTACATCATACCGAGCTCTGTGCAGTATTGTAGTTACATCATACCGAGCTCTGTGCAGTATTGTAGTTACATCATACCGAGCTCTGTGCAGTATTGTAGTTACATCATACCGAGCTCTGTGCAGTATTGTAGTTACATCATGCCGAGCTCTGTGCAGTATTGTAGTTACATCATACCGAGCTCTGTGCAGTATTGTAGTTACATCATACCGAGCTCTGTGCAGTATTGTAGTTACATCATACCGCGCTCTGTGCAGTATTGTAGTTACATCATACCGAGCTCTGTGCAGTATTGTAGTTACATCATACCGCGCTCTGTGCAGTATTGTAGTTACATCATACCGAGCTCTGTGCAGTATAGTAGTTACATCATACCGCGCTCTGTGCAATATTGTAGTTACATCATGCCGAGCTCTGTGCAGTATTGTAGTTACATCATACCGAGCTCTGTGCAGTATTGTAGTTACATCATACCTAGCTCTGTGCAATATTGTAGTTACATCATGCCGAGCTCTGTGCAGTATTGTAGTTACATCATACCGAGCTCTGTGCAGTATTGTAGTTACATCATACCGAGCTCTGTGCAGTATTGTAGTTACATCATACCGCGCTCTGTGCAGTATTGTAGTTACATCATACCGAGCTCTGTGCAGTATTGTAGTTACATCATACCGCGCTCTGTGCAGTATTGTAGTTACATCATACCGAGCTCTGTGCAGTATTGTAGTTACATCATACCGCGCTCTGTGCAGTATTGTAGTTACATCATGCCGAGCTCTGTGCAGTATTGTAGTTACATCATACCGAGCTCTGTGCAGTATTGTAGTTACATCATACCGAGCTCTGTGCAATATTGTAGTTACATCATGCCGAGCTCTGTGCAGTATTGTAGTTACATCATGCCGAGCTCTGTGCAGTATTGTAGTTACATCATACCGAGCTCTGTGCAATATTGTAGTTACATCATACCGAGCTCTGTGCAATATTGTAGTTACATCATACCGAGCTCTGTGCAGTATTGTAGTTACATCATACCGAGCTCTGTGCAGTATTGTAGTTACATCATACCGAGCTCTGTGCAGTATTGTAGTTACATCATGCCGAGCTCTGTGCAGTATTGTAGTTACATCATACCGAGCTCTGTGCAGTATTGTAGTTACATCATACCGAGCTCTGTGCAGTATTGTAGTTACATCATACCGAGCTCTGTGCAGTATTGTAGTTAATCATACCGCGCTCTGTGCAGTATTGTAGTTACATCATACCGAGCTCTGTGCAGTATTGTAGTTACATCATACCGAGCTGTGTGCAGTATTTTACTTACATCATACCGCGCTCTGTGCAATATTGTAGTTACATCATACCGAGCTGTGTGCAGTATTGTAGTTACATCATACCGAGCTCTGTGCAATATTGTAGTTACATCATACCGAGCTCTGTGCAGTATTGTAGTTAATCACAGCGCGCTCTGTGCAGTATTGTAGTTACATCATTCCGAGCTCTGTGCAGTATTGTAGTTACATCATACCGAGCTCTGTGCAATATTGCAGTTAATCACAGCGCGCTCTGTGCAGTATTAAACATATGTAGTTAAATCACTGCCCGCTCTGTGCATTATTATAGTTAAATCATATCCGGCCTTGTGCAGTATTGTAGTTATATCACCGCCTGCCCTATTGATGTCCTTGGAAAGCCCGAAGTGATGCAGGCCTCGGATACTTGGCAGCTTTGTGAAACCACGAGCCTATGTATCTTGATGTGAAACGTAGTAACATGATCGAACCTTGGATTCGAACCCACAGTCATAGGTTTCTGTGTGCCCAAGGGACGCACTTCGAAAATCTGTATCACCATGCTCCTCTACTGATGTAGGTTCGAATCTCTGTTTACAGACAGCATCATCTGCGTTTCGACACCAACGCCTCGGATGACGCTCAGGATAACGCCGCAAGTCCCAAGTTTTAATGGCACAATCTTCGTTGAAGGGAAGGTCAAAACTACAGCATGTCGCATGGCCTTAGTATCGGGCACGACCCAGACGTACGAGCTGACCCTCACTCACATTCACAGCACGTGCGGGAACGCTGTCCACAACGCCAGTGTGAGTAATGTTCAAAGCATCTTCTTCAGTTTATGTATTGCTGGTTGATGGATTTAAAAATATTCTCGACGTTGAAGTGCACTGTTTAAAGTGTCGGTGTCCACAAGGCAGGTGAGACTTACGTTCAAAGCTTCTTGTCCAGTTAAGATGATAGCTGAATGATGTATAATAGACCCCAAATAGCTTTGACGTCCAAGTGCACTGTTGACAGTGTCGCAGTCCACAACGCAGGTGCGAGTTATGTTCACAGCATCTTGCGCAGTTAAGATGATAGCTGAATGATGTATAAAAGATCCCACGTAGCCTTGACGTTCAATGGTACTGTTGATAGTGTTGGTTCGTGCTTATCTGACCCTGATTCGAATATTAACAGTCATGACCAATGAAGGACACAGTCAGTCACACACAAGATGTACCATCACGTATCACCAATTGAATACACCTCTGCTGATTGACCACAGTTGTATCAGCTTTATCAACCTTACCGAAGAAGTCACTGCATTCCACGCTAAAAGCCAAAAGAACATCCGATGAGATGCTTGATGGGCATTTGGAAGTTGGAAGGTAACATAACAACGTATGGTATGGATTTACAACTTCTTAAAATTTTCAACACGACGTTTCTGGGCTACTTCTTGCCCCTTCATCAGGTGAATGTGTAAATATTAAAGACGTCGTAAATCTATACCATACGTTGTTATGTTACAATACAACATCCTATATTAATCCGCAAGCCAATAGCTTCTGTGCCAAATTTGAGATAGGCTCTGACACCATTGCAAACGGTTTCTGTGCTGAATTTCAGAACAGTTGGCTTGTCAACAGTTTCTGCAGGGAATGGCGTTAAGATTTTCTATTTTTTTCAGACCGACTCCAACACTAGGAAGTTTTACGTTTTGTTTGCCAGCAACAGCATCGTGTTGACGTCCGACGAGGTGGTGACTGCTATCTGCGACGACACCCACAGCACGGCAGTCACCTTCCAACTCAGCAACATCGACATTGACGGGTACAGCACAGGTTTAAGAATAAGAGTGTGCTACTGATTAGTTGCCTCACTCTGTAAAAGTGTGGGTGTGAATCCTAGATGGGACTGAGCTCCGAACGTTACTGAGAAATTGAATTACCACTTGTAACACCTCAGCGCTGTTCAAACAACATGAGGCGTTAAGGCGTACACAGAATGGGTGTTTATATTCCTGCAATACAACCGTGAGACAGGGCGAACAGTGAGTGAGTGAGGTTTAGTTTTACGCCGCTTTCAGCAATATTCCCGGAATATCACGGCGGGGAGAGCAGAAATGGGCTTCACATATTGTGCCCATATGGGGAACCGAACCCGGGTCTTCAGCGAGCAGAGTGAACACCTAAATCACTTGGCTATCCCATCGCCCCGTTAGGGCGAACAGTTTAAACACAGTTTACAGAGTCCGACAGGGAAGGCCGGCGAAGTCGGTTGACACTTTGGCAGTATTTGGCTGTATTGGCTGGTCAGTGTCCGCTTCTCCTTGTCCCTTGCCTTCTGCTTGTCTGTCCGCACTCTTCCACCTGTCTGCCGGCTTCCCTTGTCTGCTTTTAAAGGCAGCTTAACGACTAACAATCTGCTTAGGTCGGCAATTTTTATTGACACAATCTGCTCACCTGGTAATATTTTGACGAGGTCGACAAGTGTACACGACAATTAGTGTTATTCTGTAAAACATGTGTAACTTGTGTGAGTTCTTCCCCACTGACATATTGTCTGCTTCAACTTCCTAGTATCTTGAGTCCTGTCGGGGTGGACATGAGCATCAAAGATGAAGACGTGAACCTAACGCTGACGGTATTAGGCAGTCCCGTCTCCAGCAGCGTCAACCTGGGTGACGACATCAACGCTACTATAGAAATGACGGCCGCTGGTATGCTTAGTAAGTAAGACATCACCCCAAATGCTGATATGATAGATCATGTTATTGTTTTACGCCGCAGTCAGCATCGTCCCGGTTATATCACGGCAAACTGTTGAATATCCTTACTTGGAACTGACAACACGAACCAGTGTTTGGTATTAGCTGTAGGCCAGTGAGCACTCTATCCAATTTAGCCGCTAAATGTTGCCAGTTTAGTGTTTTGAGACCAGCAAGAGGGTAAAAATGCGACCTATTCTATTGAAAGTAGAAAAACACACGCATATATCGATAGTGTTAGGGGGCCAGAATATATGACCTTAACACCAGAGAATAACCACATTCCGGTATCGGCCGGATTCCATTGAGGCGAGTTAGTGGTGAAAATTGTATTGATGGATCACTGAAAATCTGTGATATTACAAGGTGTTTCAGGGCGGATCCAGGATTTTGAGGAAGGGGTGGGGGTGGGGTTTGGTGTTGGGATGGTGCACATAAATCATAACTTTTGGGGAAAATGCTCCTCAGGGAATATTTTTCACTCACTCACTCAAACGATGATGTTCCAGAGTTTGAGGCCCTCCGTGTCGAAGGTTGTGTAGCC